GTTTCCTTCCACATATAGCTTTGCAAAACTTGCATAAAAACCACTTGCAGGAACAAAAACGTAATATTCCAGAAATATGCTTTGCAGATAAAATCAGCTGTTCGTAATACTTCCTAGGTTGGAATATACATCAGTGCGAACTATCTTATGTCCGCCATTACCGCTCCGAAACCGGAAGTGATGTCATTTTCGCGGGATTGTAGTTTTTTTTTTTACATATAGGCCTTACAAGCCTATACTGGTGTTTTTAAAAATCACGTTTGACTTCATGCTTTTCTGAATAGTTTCTGGGATGCTTAGAACTCAAATTGCACAGCTTTAAATAGTTTATTTTGATGCACATGCGGTTTTCTTTGCAAATTTGCATTATAATATTTATTTTCGTTTTTTCTGCAGTATATAAAATTGGTTTATCTCAAAAATAAAATTTTGAAGACACTCATAATAAATTTCCGGTTGTCGTCAACTATTTTTTGCAACTTTTTTGTTTTTAAAGTTTTGAGGGATAAACCTCTTAAATTTCTCTAAGTAGAAATATATGTTAAAAAACCCAAAAACGATTTTCAATTTTTTTTGTAATTTATTGCACTTTTTTGCAATTTATGTAGTTACTATGGACTTAATGCATACATATTATTATAATTTGGGCTATAACAGTTGTAATGATGTATAGAAACTTGAAATGCTCCCACAAATGGCACTACAGCATGTAAAAATATAAAGTAAGCTCTGGCGGACTTGGTTCTATGGTAGGTACTAAAGGGTTAAAAAGCACTGAAAAACATTATGAAATTAAATCAATAACATAGGTACAGTATAGTTGTATATATAAAGAGGTAAAATCTTGTTTCATACCAGTCTCAGTTCCATATAAATATGTCTTAATGCATCATCACTCATGCAGAAAAGGAAATCCCAGAAAATGTATTCTATTCATCCGTTAATCTAGACCAGGGTTATCAAACTCATTTTACACTGTGGGCCACATACAGCCCACTTTGATCTTAAGCAGGCTAAACCACTGAAACTCCCCTTTCTGTCAGTGTAGAGAAGTCAAATATTTAACTCTTTTTCTGCATGTTAAAGATAAAGCTGCTGTAACAAAGAAAGATCTGTCAGCATGACTCTTTGGAATTAAATTGTAAGAAATAAATGTGTAGTTCCGGTAGTTCTGGTAGCTTATGGCCCAGACTGTCTTTTTATTTGTTGTTGTTGTTGTCGTGGTTGTTTGTTAGTTTCTTTAACTAGTAATTAAAAAAAAAGATTTCTATAATAGAAAATGAAAAACATAAGCTGTGAACATAATACAACACAAACTCTCGTAGAGGATACAAAGTCAGAGAGAAAAATTTTGAAATGACAAGGAGCAGGCGCATATAGTCTGTCAGTATCGTAACCCCCCCCCAAAGAAAAACAAAAAACAGAAAACAAAACAACACAAAAACATTATGTACAAGCACAACAGAGTGGCCAGCGCAGCACAAATGTTGTGTCCTGTGTTCTAGTTAGCTGTCAGCACAGAGTATACCACCACCTCCTATGTGAAAGGGCCTTTGCAGTC